CTTGCACATCTGACAAAGCCAGAACCTGCCTTGGAGAGTGCGAGGTGTGGATGGAGGTCATTGCAAATGCAACCAGATTCACATCGGACTGATTTAACGCAGGATTGCTGTTGTTCGCAGAAGGTCTTTGCACCAGAAGGTGTCAAGATGCTAAGCTCGTTCCCGCACCAGCTTGTTGGAATCATTTCCTTCTCTCATCCTCGGCCTTGCCCGTGTGATGGCAAAGTGCCGCGCCGCCTGCTTGGCCGATGCTTCCTCGCCAGCACTGGCTCCGCGAGCGAGCTGGCACAGCGAGGGGCTGCCGCGCCCTCCGTGCGACCGCTGAAATTCTCTTTGTTGATGCTCAAGCCGCTCAAAGTCATGTCGTGTCCCGGCAAACGATGTTCGGCCCTCCGTCACCCGAATCTTGGCCCAGCGATTTGGCCTGTTGCCAAGGTTTTGTTTGGGCAGCGCAACGTGCTTCGCAGCCCCCACTTATCATCACCCGGCCTTCAGTGCGGGAGATGTTCTCCTGATCCAAGCCCGACTAGAAACAACACGCCGAGCCGGCGCACCGGAACCGCACCTGGGCTTCCTGGTGAGGGTGTGGTGTTCTTTCCGCGCTTTGCAAGAACTCTCACCACCATGCAATCGTATGACCCGGTTGCAATACCTACATCGCCAACCCTGCGCTGGCAGCCAGGCCAATCCATGCTATTCCGACAGCATAGGAACGAGTCCCCGACCACTCCCATGCACTTTAAGCCCAGAGGGTCCATCGCGAGAAAGCAGCACCAGGAAAACGCAGCCACACAGGCTGAACTCGTGGCCGCTCGGGGGCCAAGGGTTTTGAGTCTTTGCAGCGCTTGGAGAAGCAGTTGGCTCTAGTATATAGTGAGAACACGAAGCACCTTCCAGCCACGGGCAGTACTAGCGCGAAAAATTGTGAGCCCGAGTTTGCAGGTTATGCTTCAAGTTTTCACTGGCTTACCCTGCCAGGCGTAGGATCGGCGTGCTCCTTGGCGGTATCCGCACTCCGCGAATCAGAGCCGAATTCTGATTCAAACACCGATGGGCAGCGATGACCGTGAACCCAACCGGTTGCTTGCATAGGCGCAAAGCACCGCCTCTTCGCAAGGTGCAGCCTGTGGTGCCGCCTTTGTTGGACGGTGGTCTGGGTTCGGAGTTGTTGCAGAACTCATGCCAGCATGATGTGTGCGTGGTCCAATATCCTAGGGGCTGCGCCCACGGGCAGGCAGCGCAGGTATAGAAACGTACCCCCTCGTCCGCCGAACCCCGCTGATGCTGATGATGAGGCGCGCCCTTTGGGTGCTTCCCCAACCCATTCCACAAAAATGCAAACCATCGCCTCGCGCTGAGTGGGCGGTTGCGAGTGCTCATGATGCTCGCCGGATGCCCTCCTGGAATCGCCCTGCGTGCGTTGCCGTTTGAGCCTCCAAACGAGGTCCCGCACGGCCCGGTGGAAAAGCAAGGGTTCGCTGATGCAGGGTCGGCGGCATAGCCGGCCGTCCCATTGCTAAAGCAAGGCTTGCGAGCTAAGTTCGCCTGAAGCGAGGACTCACAACGCGCACGCACTCGGGGACTGCTTAGCGCAGGTAGAAGTCTGGAGCAAGGCCACGCACCCCCCCTCCGCTACACCCCGCTGATGCTGATGATGCGCGGTGAGGGCTTCCGCATGCCACCCATTCCAAAAATGCGGCGTAGTGCATTCTCGTTGCCCTTCGTTGCCTCTTTCTGGAAGCTCCCCCTCCAGTCGGAGCTCGGTGCTGCTGGCCTGCCCCCAGCACTGCACGAGCTTGCGGACACTCGCTGGCAGAAGGCCCTTCAATCCAGCCATCTCCCTGCTGTGCGATCGAGCTTCTGTTGACCCGCCACAAGGAGGGCGGTGTCCCTTCGTACGGCATACAGGAGTCTGGCTGCGGGATGCCCCCGCATTGATGACAGGCAGCGTGTCCTGCCAGGACGCCCAATGCGCGGCACTGCGGGCTGCAGTCGCAGAACGGAGGCCAAGCCCGCCAAACCGCTGGGCGAGCTGTGCGGCACGCAAAATTGTCGGTGGGAGGGGCACAGCTTGCTCGAGCAACGTGGCCAGGCAGCAGGCAATAGAGGTACCATGCGCAGCGGCGTACTTGGCCGTGAAGCTTGCAAATCGTCGAGCAACGGAATGCGTTCCAAAAGCCGGTCTTGGTCGGGGCGTGAGCGCTGCAATTGGCACAGTACGAATCATCGTGTTCGAGGCATGAACCTCGCACAGCAATTCGGTGGGAGGCACCAGTTGCCAACCCAAACACGCTCGCTGCCGGCAATATTAGGCGGCTCCTCGCCGGCGGCATTCTCAGCACGTGAATCTGCGCGCGGTTCCACAGCGCTTCGGCGAGCAAATCGTAGAGGGCGCGAACGCGTTTTGCAGGGCGACGATGTGAAAATCGCCGAGGTATGCTCGGGAGCCAGTTGTCTACCGACATGCAAAAGCCAACTAGACTTGAGAGTATCCCCCGGGTGATGTGATTTGCGAGCTGGGTTAAGGATCTTAGATGTGGCTCCTGACCACTGCCTCGGGCGGACCTCGTGCAATCTCGTGCGGGCGTCGCCGGGTGCTTCTTAGTACGAGCGTCTAGATGGGGAATGGTATCTGAGCCCCTAAAACCTACGGGCTCTTCGGCCTTTGCCGGGATTGCGCCCTACCCCACCCGCGCCGGTCAGCCAGCGAAGCCCTTCGTGTCTTGGGTTTTCGAGCCTGTTCGAGCCAAGTAGAACAAGGAAGGCCCGAGGCCTAGCCACGGCGGCATTGGCACTGCCAAACTGGCTTGAACCAACATGGCTACGGCGGGTTTCAACACATGTAACGAAACAAGTCAGCATTCGTGCTGCAGCACGAAGCCCCACGTGCACGCCACCTGGAGGCGGGTTTTAACACAGGTAACGAAACGAGTAATGTGTCCCCGTGCTGCAGGGCATTTGTTCCAGTTTTGCTATGACATCGCTTTGTGTAGTCACATCAGAAAGAGCGAAACCCAATGTGCACGCCAGGCGGGTTTCAACACATGTAACGAAACGAGTAAACTGCCCGCGTGCTGCAGGCAGTCGTTAGTCACATCACCTTGCTCAGTCACATCAGAAAGAGCGACACCCAATGAGCGCGCCGCCCGCAGGCGGGCTTCAACACGTGCAGAACACATGTAACGAAACGAGTAAAATGTCCGCGTGCTGCATTCGTGCCTATTTTGCTGTCACACTGCCTTTCGTAGTCACATCAGAAAGCGCGAAACCCAATGTGCACGCCGCCTGCAGGCGGGTTTCAATACATGTACCGAAACGAGTAAGGTGTCCGCGTGCTGCAAGTGAGTGTCTACTTTGCAGTCACATCACCTTGTTTAGTGACATTAAACAAGCGAAACCTATGTGCATGCAACCCGGAGGCGGGTTTCAACACATGTAACCCAACGAGTAAACTGTCCGCGTACCGCAGGCATTCGTGCCTATTTGGCAGTCACATCACCTTGTTCAGTTACATGAGAAAGAGCAGCACCCTGTGTGCACGCCGCCCGCAGGCGGGTTTCAACACATGTAGCGAAACGAGTAAACTGTCCGCTTGCTGCAGGCATTCGTGTTTATTTTGCTGTGGAACCTCCTTGTTTGGTCCCATTCCCTCAGGGAACTGTATCTGAGCCCCCACAAACCCACGCCCCAAAACCACGTTAGGATGGTGTTTGCGGACAATTTCCTCAATTCGTTACATGTGTTGAACTCTGCCTGCGGGCGGCGCGCCCATTGGGTGTCGCTCTTTCTGATGTGATTAAACAAGGTGATGTGACGGCAAAATAGGCACGACTGCCTGCAGCACGCGGACGCCTTACCCGTTTCGTTACATGTGTTGAAACCCGCCTGCGGGCGGCACAAAGTGATGTCATGGCAAAATAGGCACGAATGCCTGCAGCACGCGGACATTTTTTTCGTTTCGTTACATGTGTTCTGCATGTGTTGAAGCAGGCCCGCCTGCGGGCGGCGTGCTCATTGTGTGTCGCTTTTTCTGATGTGATTAAACAAGGTGATGTGACGGCAAAATAGGCACGACTGCCTGCAGCACGCGGACAGTTTACTCGTTTCGTTACATGTGTTGAAACCCGCCTGCGGGCGGAGTGCACATTGGGTTTCGTTTTTTCTAATGTTTTTTCTGGACTGGTAGTGCCATACAAGTAGCGTCGGAGTGCGTCCGGTACCTGCCTTGGGACAAACCGTCCCTGCCCTGAGTGCATCCAGCTCTGCTTGGTTCAGACTGTCCGGCTCCGCACAACCTGCCGTGCACCGCTCACTCCGTTGACTGGGAGCGCTCCCTGCTTGCCGAATGCCCCCACCGACTGTCCTTGCTGCTATGACCCCCCGGTCCCGCCCGGGCGACCATGTGTTGATGCCTAAAGGGCTGGATCGTGGTTCGCTCTTTTTTCGGCTCGCATCTTTCGAAACTTTCCGGAAAGAGGGTGACTTCCACCTTCAATCTTCATCCTCAGGCCCAGCTGGCCCGTCGACATTGCCTCGTAGCATGGGTGAAGCCTCTCGTGCTATGAGAGGGGGTGTGCGAAGCAAACTTGAACAACGACACATTTGCATTTCGAAAGCGGATGCCCGCACCTTCAAAGTTACGTGCTCCTGCGACGTGCTGCTACCAAGTGCCCGCCCATGGCTGGCTGCGCCCCCTGCTGCGCCAGCTCGGCGACAACAACCCCTTGTCAGACTCCCCCGAGTTTTTTCCGAAGCAGGCGAGGTTCGGCAACGCTGTCAGGTTAGATAACCGACATGAACCTCGACGTGCCATCCACCCAATTGCACCGAGTCTAGATCGTCGCGAATCCGATTGCAACCAACAGCCCCCAAATGCGGCTGTCGGAAAACAAACAGCAAATAAATTTGAATCAACACCAATGCCTGAAACCAGGGCTGGGCGCACGTGTGCAGTAATATCTTAGACTTGGCACTCGTTGCATTTCTTGGTTCAAGCGGAGTTTAGCTTCGACTTTTTCACGCCATTTCGAAGATATTATCCACCTATCCGCAAAATGCAGCGGCCTTAAGCATTCGAGTGTGATGTGTTGTGGCGACAGCCTGCTGAAATACTCCTCTGAGGAACACCTTACTCTACATGTTCTACACGACTGTGGCTATTGTGGTCGCCTTGCCTCAACAGGTTGTCGCACACGTTCCTTGCCAAAGCCTTCTGCATGAAATCGCATGCCAGGACGTGTCCAAGTTGCATACTTTGGCACGTGACCTTGAAGTACGCGGTGAGGCCACCGCAATCACGAGCAGCACGGAGTTTGATCTTTGAACGTCGATAGGTTTGCGACTGTTGCATTGCAAGTGCTGAGAGACTGCTTCTGAGGCTAGCATAGCCACAAGAGTCGTTTGATTATTTTGGTTCTACCTGCCCAAAACAAATTCTCCTGGCAGAAGGCTTAACCGAACGTTTATTCGCCCACGAAGTGTCCGAACTTTCCGTCACTCTTGTTTACTACAAACCGGTTTGTGCTGTGCATCGCTCTGGCAAGCGATGGGTGCGTTGCGTGTCCGGTTGCGTCCGGTCGATGCCAGTGCTTACCAAATCTGCGGTCGCAAGTTGAGGCGAGATGGTTTTTGAAAGTTGGTGGTGTTGCCATGATTATCATGATCAGTGTCAGCTCCCCTACTGGACCGGGAAGGCGAAAGCAGCACCAGTCCGTGGCAGAGGCCCTTCATGGGGGCACAGGGTAGCAGGTCTTGTTACAGCGACTCCTGCAGTGTTGCTGCGGATTCCTGTTCGGTGTATCTCAGTGATGCCAGGCAAGGCCAAAAGTTGCGGAGCAGTGCCATTCAGTACCGATCGAGGGTATGCCCCGAGGCCTCTTGCAGACAACTCGCGGGGAGCGAAACCACTCGCAGCCCTTCAGCGAGGCGGTCGTTGGTGCTCCTCTGGGAGAAAAGCTGCACTGCGGGATGATGCCAGGCAACTCTTCTCATGGAAGAAGTGGTGAGCATGGCCACTGGCACTGCAAGCATTCCCGTTTGGCTGATGGCCTCGTCCTCGGACGAAGTGGCACCGAGCGGACAGGTGGTGCTGTTTTTTTTTGCAGTTCATGTCGACTGAGGTATTTGGCCTGGGGTTTGCCGCCGCCTCTTTCGCGCTCTACACCTGGCTTTCTTCGAACACCAAGGGCACTGCCGAGCAGCTTGTGGCGCAGCAGCCGTGTTTGACCGTCCCAAGCGACGAGGGTCAGCAGTCGGGTGGCTGTGCGCCAGGTTGACAGGAAGAGCGAGGAGGCCCGACAGCGAACCACGAGTCTCATGTGGGGGTGAGACTTACAAGCGGCTTCCACAGGCACCGATGCCCGAGGCACATCTAATTTTGGTGCAGCAAGACACCGACAAATTGTTAGATATATGGTGAGACAGAAGGATTGGGTCATGAACAGGTGTTCGGCGAAGCTCTTCAGCAGGGAGAAGCGGCCATGCAAGATTTCGAGACACAGACTCATCCCAGTGCTCGCAGCTGTTGGAAGAAAGCTTTTTGTTCCAACGGAGGTCTTTGGCAAAGACGCTGGCGCAATCTGTGGCGCAAAGGATTGGCCCAAAGCTCGCGAAGGGGCAGGTGCCGCGAGAAGAGATGCCGGAAGCTGTGGACTGGAGAAAAGTGTGAGGCAGTGCGGGGCATTCTGGAGCCAGAGCCTCACGATGTGTTGTTACTACTCGGTGCCCAAGTTTGCACTGGGTGCGCAGCAGACAGCAGATGCAACACTGGTCACCGGCAGGTCGCGCTTGTACCAGTTCCCAGACAAGGCCAGCATCAAAGCAATAAGTAGCTCACCACGAAATGACCTGTGTGATGTCAAGGCAAAAACTTTTGTCTTGAATGAGCTCAACAGCACAGCCGGAGCCGTCACGGTGCTTAGTGCCTGATTGTTGCAGGTGTGCAGCTCATGAGTTCAGGAGGTTGTTTCCTAGGTCATGCGGGCCATTGAAGCTGAAGAAGCCATGATCTTGTTGGATCTGGCTGCGGCCTGAGATTTCTACAGTGCTGTGCTGAAGGCTGGCGCCTGATATTTGCAGTTTTGGCCGAGGACAAGGCCCTCTCCTCGAACTTCCCACCAGTCATCCGGGCACACAGCTTGACTTCTTGCTTGCATTCTTTTGTGGTTAGCTCATGAGCCACTTTGTCGAAGATTTGCCTCTAGATCGTTTAGAAGATGAAGTGGATCTCTTCGTGCCGCAGTTTTCAGAGAATGTTATCTGTGCAGCCTGTCCTCATTTGTGCTGCCTAGGGCCCACAGGGTCTGTTTTCGACATGACTTCTCTGAAGTTGGATGTCGTGCCAGATATCAATGCTCCTGGCTGGCTTGATATCACCAACACTGCTCAACATCTCCATGTCGGCACTGCGCATGCCACGTTCCCGGCTGCAGTATCTTGCTTGTAGCAACGTGTTGTCTGCCGGGATGGGTGGCTTCAAACCATGGTATGCCGAGGCAAAACACACTGGTCGTTTTGCCGGTCCTGCTGTTGCAGGGGCCTCCGTGCCTGAATGGCCAGTGGCCATTGTGAAATGCTCAGATATGCAGGTGTGGCTGGGCGATGTGGCAAGATTATGGTGCTGCATGTGCCTGGATGGCAGTCATTGTCTCTTTCTGATTGGTGCGGAAACCAGGGAGAGTTCGTCTGAGGCTCAATCCCGACGATGACCATGTGGGTGAAGGCCGTCGTCGATTGCAGCAAATGCGAGCGTGTCCACGACTCTCCCCGCATTGAAAGGCTCAAGTGATGATGGCACTTGTACTTGGAGTTTCCAATGGTGGAATGCTCAGCGAAGCGCTTGGTTGCGTCCGTGATGTAGCATGTGGAACTGTGGCAGGCATGGTAGCCTGGAAGATCTCCCAGGGAAAGACAGCATTAGATGTCCCGAACCCGGCGAGTCCATCAGGTGATGCAACCGCTTGTGTTCTTGTGCATCATACTTTTTCGTTGCTGGCCGCAGCTTTTGCCCTCAGACTTTTGTAAAGCTTTGGCTGATGCTGGCCGAGGCGTGCTTCCCGCGTTGTTTTTGATGCATTTGCTGCTCACCTGCGGGCATCGTAGCTCCGCCTTGGGCCGTTAGGTCCAGAATTTTTCTTCAGCGTCAGCGTGCTGCTGATCTTAACAGGAGAGTGTCCAAATGGTTGCTTTTTCATCGGCCAGGTGCCGCATTTGTTCTTGCAATTTCTGACAGGAAACCTGGAGATGTCCGGCTCTATGCGAAAAGCACTGCGTGGCCTGGGGATGTCAGCAGCCGGCGTGTCCATGGCGGGTGCAGCTCAGGCGGCCCACCTCAGGTGGAGGTACCGCTGTCCAGGCACGTTTGTCAATTGTCTGGGTCTCTCAAAGATGCAGATTGATGGTCCATGCTGCGAAATGCTTCGGAAACACATTCGTAGAAGGAGAACCACCTGGAGAGCGTCATGGCCATGCGGGTCGCCATTATGATGGAAAGCCCTTGAAGCTCCTCTTCGTGGGTGACTCCATCGCCGTTGGTGTTGGTGCAAAGATTGCAGCTCCTTTGCAAGCTGCATGCGCAGAGCGGTTGGCTAAGATCCAACGGCGACCTGTGGAATGGTGCACAATTGCAGCCAATGGTGCAGATGTGCGTGAGCTCCATGCTTTGGTCGATGAAGACCACAGCTTTGATATTGCCGTGGTTTTGTGTGGAGTCAACGATGGCAAGAAGTTTCTACAAGGCTTGTGAAGCTAGACCTTGTGGAAGCAAGCTGAAAAGTACCACCGCTCCGCTGCGCTGCTGCATGTAATGTCTGTCAGGCCGATGGCCTTCGCATTTTCGCGAAGACCTGGCTGCCTTGTGTGGCACTTTGAGGAAAGCTGCTCCAGAGAGTGTGATCACCGTTCCACAACTCCTCGGCAACTTGACGCAGAGTTGACATGCGTCTCTGCGTGTTCACGTGACGTAGTTCTCAGGTCACGTGCAAGCCCCTTTGTTTCAGCAGTGGCCAATGTGCCATTTGGTGGATGCAGCGAGCTTGGCTGCGATGCGGCTATGCAGGAGATGTTCCCTCCATACGCTGTTGGGACCAAGGCACTTTTCGGCCAGTTCGAGGCACAAAAGACATTACTTGAAGCCACTGGAGCTGTCAGGAGACTCGGCAACTTTTTCAACATTTTTTATGTATGTTGTAGGCTATTTGTAGACAGAGAATGACCTGGTCAATTTTTTCTCGTGTGCTGAGGGCACTGTCTGCGGACTCCGCCATGCCAGTGCTGCAAGCAGACGCTCGTTGGTGGTCTGTGGATGGCGTTCATCCATCAGGGGAAGGCTACCGCAAATTGGGTGAGTGGCCTCTCAGCTGGAATCTGGAAGTTGGACGGCAGTGGATTGATCCAATTCAACATTAACCTGCTCCTGCTCGAAAGGTTGGCCCCACTGCTCGACAAAGTCCACAGTCCTCAGTTGGTGGAGTAGTGTCTTGGCTATCAGGTAAGTGCCTTTGCCTTTCTGTGTCTGCTTCAAGAAGTCACGGATTGGTGTGCGACATCCGTGTGCGTCGATTTTTTCGGACTGAGGTTTGCAGTCGTTAACCTGGAGTTGGCAGTCGCATTTGTCGGTTGTCCCAATGGTCTCGTAATATGAGGGCAGCATCGGCCGGCAATTATACTTGGCATGGGCAGGCTCTGTCTCAAAGTGAGCTAATGTGAAGATCGTATGCGCAGCATCCACGAAGCTTCTGTAGGCCTTGTCGCAAAGGGGCATAGGTTCGCTGACCAAAAGCGTGTTGGAGACAAAGAGGGTTCGGTTCGGTTTCGAAACACATGCAACATGAACAAGTTGTGGCTACTGTATGGGCACGGTGGAGTCCGCCTTTGGTTCTGATACCGCTCAGCTGCAGTTCGACTGCGGGACTTGTTCACGTCACCTCATCAGGTCTAGAAGTCTAGAGCAGAGACGAGGATGCCCATGCCCAGTCTTCGGGCATGTGCTGAGCAGCATGGCCCCCTTCAGCGCGTTGGGCCGTGCTCACCCTGTGTCCCAAAGGATATCGGGTGAGCCCGGCAGCTGAGCCGCTAGGGCTGGCTCACACGATTCCAAAAGAAGCAAAGCTTTTGTGAGAATCTGAACTTGCCCCTGTGCTGTTTTGCATGGTTCGGGGCGAAAGTCGCTGCAATCGCAGCAACGATTCGGCTCAGCCCTGAAGGGAACTGAGTGCAGCAACAGCTTCGTGATTTTCCTGTAACTTGGATTCTGTTGCCTTGCGCTCCGGGGTCCCACTTGGAGTGAGCCATCTAGCTGTCCGAGCCTGCTGCATTGCACAGAAGACCGCCTCACGCTGCACAGGAGAAAAGCAACCGATCTGACAGTCTCTAGGTCGGCACGGGACGAACACATAAGCACAGCCGACGACAGGTCAAGACTGAGCGACTGCAACGGCGTATTAAGGCTCGGGTTTGCAGCCGGTGCGGCTTTCGAGCCTGATCCCCATGAGTAGACGAGTAGACGGCAGGAAGCTCAAGCATCCGGTAATCCGGGTGTCGGACAACTTCGTGAACTCTTCGTCTGCAACTCGGTTCTAATCCAGGAGGCGAGGGGCAACGGTCGAAGTGTCCGAGTCCAGATCTTATCCGACCCCCGATTGGCAGGCCCTTTTGCTGGAAGATGAAGTGAAGGCATCCATTTGGTTCAATGCCTCTGGAGTTGCCTCTGTGCTCTGGTTGGGAATGCCTCTTGGAACGCATGCCGCTTCCAAGCCATAGGAACTGAAAACACGGAAGTGTGCTTGCTGAGGACCCTGTGGACATGGGTGCTGGTGTTTGGCTGGACCTTCGTGCCAGGCATTACAGCTTTTGACCAGGCTGCCCAGCACAGCCCTCCAGCTGAATTGGAGCCGCGACATACTATCGGACAGCATCTGACAGCCGAGATGCCAATTACTGTGGGGCTTGGGCAACTGCGTCGGCCTCGATGCAAGCTGTTCACCAAATGGCACCAGCTAGGTTTTGGCCGGGCTAGGTCTTAGCTGCACGCATCACAGCCATCCTGGCTGTTCTCTTTTTGGTCGTCAACATCCTGACGGCTAGATGCTGAAATTCCAAGGGCCTTCTCTTCATTGCATGCTGTCTCTGCCTGCCGGTGTGGCCTGAGGTATGCAATTGGCTTGCTACAGTCTTCATTACCTCTGATGCCTTTGCCCAGTCCATGCTGAAGAAGGCATCGCTCGGAAGCTCCTAAGCCCTTGCATTGCGGCTCCTCTTGGACGGCAACTTCTTGTCCTGCGCCGGAGGCCTGCGAAATAGACCGACAAGCGTTGCAGCCCCGGCTACTAAACACAGAGATTTAGGGCCGTGCTTTCTGTTGCGGAGGCTGGGGTTCCCAGTAGCGCAGCTGCTGGTCAAGGCAATGCTGCTCCGAGGTCGTGCCGAGCTAAGCCGCTGAGAGGTAGTACTTAGAGGGGTAGCCTTGGGATGATTGATTGCTGCGCTTGACAACTCGGACCCGTCGGCCACCAGAAAGTAGAGGCTCAATGCGTTATAGCTCCGACTCCAGCTACGATCGTTGGCAGGTCGCCAACAACGATTTTGCAAAATTAGCATTGCTGGCGCCATGGCCCTCTACAGGTTGAGCTGCCTACTGAGCTTGCTGCCTTTTGCAGCTGGGTATGTCAAACTGGGCAAGCACATCGTGAAATACACAGAAGACCCTCGGAATTCTTCGATGCTTGCAGGGCCGGTGTCGCACGTGAAGCAGTAGTGTGTGTGTGTGTGTCCAAAATGTTTACTTATCTTCGCTCCCCCGCACAGAAGTATCGCACTGAAGCATGTTTCAGGGTGTCGGTCCATGCGACCAGATGTGCTCTACGGTTTGGTGCCGTCAGGATAAGTTGAAGTACATTCTGAACCGCGAAGATCGTCCCTCCATGCTTCTGGAGATCTTCTCTCCAACGTGTCCAGCATGCGAAGCCTTTGCGCCTCACATGTCAAATGCTGCCGAACGCATCAAGCGAGAAGCTCCGGACATCAAAGTCGTCGCTGTTGATGGCACAGAAGCAGAGTCCATCATGAAGGAATTGGGGACTCAGGAGTTTCCATCGCTTTTCTATTTAGGCAGTGACAAGACAAAGGCTCGGATGGAGTTCAAAGAAGCCAACTCCGCAGATGCTATCGTCAGCTGGACCCTCCGGGTGTCTGCCCCGACGATCCAGAATATCAGCACTGCTTCCGAGTTGCCAACCTTGGACCCAACTTCCCTTCCGCATCTAGTGCTACGCTCACCCAGCATGGTGCCGGCATTCGCATCTCTGGCACAGGACCACAAGCTGACCTTTCGTGCTTTCTGGATACAGGCGGAGGTGTCACCTGCAGTGTCGCAAATCCTGCATGCCGGCCAAGATGCTCAGAATTTTACTTGGACCGACCCGCGGGCAGACAGCCTTGACGACGATGGAGAGCTGTTTGAAGCTTTCGTCAAAGACAACATCCTCCCAGCGGCTCGATTGCACACATGTACCAGCCTTTCTCAGGCCGAGTTGATCCAAGGCGGTCATCATGATATCGGACACCAAGAAGGTGAACCGGATTCTGGATCGACTGGAGTCTGACGCACAGCTCCTCTGGTTGGTCTTGAACTCCACCGGCCAGGCCTGCAAACCTCACAAGTAAGCCCCCTGAAAGTTGTTCTACTCTCGTTGATGTCTCGCTGAGATTCGAGGCTTCTCCAGGAAGCGAAAGATCTTGCGGATCGGACGAGCTGGCCTGTTCGGCTGCTGGTCCGTCGGTGGCCGCCGATGCTTCGACAGACGCCTTGCAGCGGGCATTTGCGCCACACAAGAGAATGTTCCAACGAGCCATCGCCACTGCACGAGACCCTTTGCTTAATCTGTCTGAGAACAGTCTGAAAAGAAGCTATGTGTTTGAGCTGGGTCATCAGATTTTCATACCAGGAGAAGAAAAAAGTTTACGGTCTGTACATTGACATTGCCAAATGGCCGGACTGGGTCGAGAAGGAGCTTTACGCCTGGACTGCGCCGGTTCTGGTAGCGCAGCGGTTCAGACACGGCCCTCGATACTTCTTCGCAGACCACGGGCTTCCGGTGCCTGTCTCTAATAGGAGCTTGCATGTGCAAGTAGATTTCTTGCCAATGTTTGACAGTTCGCATGCACCGACCAAGCTGCGTCATGGCCGCGCAAGCTTACCGTAGCTCAGGCCAATGCAAGACAGCTGACTGAGTGGTACAACGGCCTCCTCTCAAGGATGCCACTGATTTGTCTGCTTTCTTCGCCACGGCCTGCTCTGTTCGCGAGGACCCCACGACAGATGTCCGAGCGCCCGCAGGCGACACCCTCCGGAAAGCTCTGGAGAAAGTTTGTCAACCTCGGGTTGGAGGAGCCTCAGATTTCAAGCAACATTATCCTGATTGGTCCCCTCGCGACACGTGAGGATGCACTGCGTGCGCAGCCAGCCACCCTCTTGTACACCTTCAAGTCGCCGGATAGCCTCTCACAGGAGCAGGAGGCGGCAAGCAGTGTGTACGTCACAGTGCGTGCTGGGAGCGTTCTCTGTTGCCGAGCGGCCGCAAGTGACTGTAGATTTGGAGGTTATCGACCTCGAGGACGAGATGGAAGCATTGGACACGTTGGCTGCCTGGCTGAGTGAGAACTGCGAGAGGCTCGGGGTGGGTGACACTGGTACAGATAGGTGCAGGAAGTCATTTGCTTCTGCCTGGCATGCCAGGCCACCGCTCCTGGGAGCTTTGGACGTGCGGCGCAACGAAGTGCCCTTGAGCCTCTATGCTGCTGCAAGTATAGGCGGCCTCGCAGCACCGAACTTGTATCTCATCGCCCGGCACTCAGCACGCTCCGAAAGCACAGGCTTTGTAGGCCTCCATCTTTGTGAATCCTCAAATTTTCAAGAGAAAGCCCGAGAGCAGCAGGGCCAGTCAGGCGCTCTATGCAAGCCGCATGTGCGAACAGTACATTCAGTACCTTGCGAAGATTCAGGGCTTAGTGCATTGCAGTCCCTGCTCAAAAAAAGTACCTTGCGTAGAGCACTTTATGGACGGATGATGCTTGCTGATTCACGGTTGTGCACAGGCTGCACAATCAAGTGACACTGTGAAGTGATGGCAGCGACCATCGAGAGCCGATGTCGGGGTGTATGCGTTTGCGTGAAGCAGTCGTCGGCAGGTTGATGCCAAGATTAACGTAACATACATTAACTGCAGACGGTCTCGCAAGGCTGCCGCTATTACTGCCACAGCCACGGCTGCTGCTGCTGCTGCTGCTGCTGCTGCTGCTGCTGCTACTGCTGGTGCTAGTGCAGCTACTGCTAGTCCTAGTCCTTCCTAGTGCTACAGCTGCTGTTGCCGCTGCAACTGCAACTTCCGCTGCTGCTGCTACTGCTATTGCCAATTGCTATTGCTACTGCTACCGCTACTGCTATTGCTGTTTGCTGCGACTGCTACTGCTGCTGCCACTGCCAGTGCCGCCGCTACTGCTACCGCTACAGCTACTGCCAGCTGCTACTACTGCTGCTGCTTGCTGTGATGCTACTGCTGCTGCTACTGCTAGTGCTGCTGCTACTGCTGCCGCTGCTTTTATTGCCAGTCGTACTCTTGGACGGTGACCAATATTGCCATTCCTACTGCTACGGTTACCACTGCTGCGACTGTTGCTGTCATTCTTCCTGCTGCTGCTGCTGCTTCGGCGAGAAACTGTGCCACTGTTGATCTACATCTGATGAATGAGCTTGGTTTCGCTTTTTGCCTGAGACTGGAGCTTGCTTGTGATCCGTTTTGTTCTGCACGGCCCGGTGAGTTGAACAGTGTAGATTCAAGGGCCTGGGTCACTGAGGAGAGCGACGAGGGAAAGCCATCCATGGGAGTGAGATGGGCGGGCGAAGTCAGCGAGTTCGTTGATCGCACGGCCCGGGCACAAGATGATCAACTTTCTCAGCGGGAAAGTGCTCTTACAAAGGATTTTCGTGGCGTCATCCAGTGGATTTTGGCAAAGGCTCGCCTTCTACCATCATTGAAGATGCCAAGCAATCCAGATTTATCCCAGTTCGGCACTGTTTCCACCGCTAGAGTCATGGACCTTGAGTCGGAAGCTTCGTTACAGGATTTGTTGAACAAGAACGTGTCCGGTTTTGTGGAGTTTTTCTCTCCTTCCTGTGGAGCGTGCAAGAAGTTTGCGCCCATCTATGAGTCAGCTGCAAGAAAGGCAAAAGCTAGCGAGGCATATCACGCTTTCGCGCGGATCGACTGTTCTACGACTTTGGGCGAGCAGTGCTGTAACATGCACAACATCGAGGCATACCCATCCGTTTTCTTTATGCACGGCGGTAGGCTGGAGAAGTATCCAGGAGGTTCAAAAAGGAAAGATCTTCTGGACTATCTCGCGGTCATGACAGAGCCTGCTGCGGTTGATGTCGCCAGTGAGGAGGAGACTTGAGCACTGTCGAACGCATGTGCTAGTCTGTAATGCAAGAAAGGTGAAAGATGGGTGCTGTGTTTTGGTAGCTGCATGTCACGGTTTCTTGTCCCTGTACTCTGTTGCAACGAGTTGGATTCGTTTGCCTTTGGCGCACGACAGGCTTTTGTGCAGACCGCCGTTAATCCTGGCATATTTCTTCATAAGGTCTGAGGGCTTGTGACACCTTCGCATGTCAAATGGACCCAGGCCTACCTAGTTTTGTTTTGGAAGTTGTCGGTCAGGTGATGAAGTATGTATGGTTTCATTAGGAGCGGAATGAGCAACTACAGAATCACGAATTTGCATCTCCATGAAGAATATAAATCGATTAGTTGGCAGAGGCCTTATCACAAAGCAAGACGATGCTGTCCTTGCGAGGGACGTTATAGATGGAACATGGCCAGATACTTATAGTTGCTGCAGCAACGGCGGGCAACGCCGTCTGGCGAGGGCCGAGTGCGCAAGGATGTCTCGGATTAGCGAGCTTTGGCTGCAGAGCAGCATACTGGGCGCACAGTCGGGCGTTGCGATGGAGCGCGCCACGCAAGCACGCCCACCGCCCCGGTCCACCGAACGGGGTGCGCCCGCGGGGCAACGCCGCGCGCTTGGCTGCACCTACTGGACCCGAGCTGTAGGCAGCACGTCCCTAAACTATACTAAACTGTCCCTGCTGTTGTTGCACTTTCGGGTGCAGCAGTACAGCTGAAGTGGAAGGCGCAATCAGCTACTGGCTTGCTAGACGCCGGGCCGCAGTGCCGCCGACCCTGCATCATCGGACTCCCGTTGCTTCCCGGGGGCGTTCCGGAGCGGGCCGGATCGGGGTGTAAATTCGAGACTGGCGGTTGCATCTCGGCGCGCATCATGAGCATCAGGAGCATCGCCATTTCGGGAAGAGCGGCTCCAAATCCCGTTCTGAGAAACAGGGTTTGTTTACAGGCCTTTTTGC